GTGTGTGTGTGTGTGTGTGTGTGTGTGTGTGTGTGTGTGTGTGTGTGTGTGTGTGTGTGTGACGTGCGCTCGCGCACGGTAATTTATATGATTAATTTTTATCTATTTACAATAAGCGTAATAAACGAGAAAATACCGATTACTCCCTGACAAACGACACATGCATACGCACCACACGCAAAGATGCACACAAATATAATATGTATGTAATTATTTAAATATCACATATTTTATATTTATATATGCACGTGTTTAGACTAAACGCGTTACATATTATATTGTACCTTTCTCTTGAGAATAACCTGTAATTGAGAATCATAACAAGAAATCTACAAAAGGCTTTTACATTTCTTTAGATACGTTGCTTTCTTTTTCGATAATATTAATCGCGCGATTCTTTTGCACCTGTTTCTAATCACGTGCATTGCGAAATGAATATATTATGAGACCGCGGCGTAAATCAATGGATCATCGATGCACTAATATTGTAATATATACCTGATGCGTGATACATTTGATCACATGCATCTAATTTTTTTCTTATGATCTAACGCTCCATGTTGTAATGCTTATCATGTAATATCATGATATTACTGTCACTTGGGCAGTGTTTATTTCTTATGATAATATAATCGATGATTGTCGAGAAGATCTTCTCTTTTATCAATATATCGATTATATGATAATGCTAACTTATGTATGATTATCGTAAATATGTTATAAATATGTATATATTATTCTTAAATAGAGCTATGTTATTTCAGTTTTTTGTTTCAAACACTCTTGTGTCGATTTAAAATGTATTTTTAATAAAATGTATTCTAACTACTGTATTATGGCACGTAAACGACCTTGTTATAGGCCACATTTAATATTTTGTTACGTAATTGTTAAGTATCTATCGACGGAAACTTTGTATGTATTATTAATTGTCGCTATCAAATATGATTAAAACGAGTGGAGAAAAGAATAATGCGCTTGCTTTCTATGATCGCAAATCGATTATACATATATGTATATGTATTTAATTTATTATATTATTATACTATTTACTGTGTGTGAAAAATTTCTTATCTAAGTAATTGAACTAAAGTAGTAATACATTATTAGTTTTGTATATGAAAAAAAATCTGATAATAATAATAATAATAATAATAATAATAATAAGTTATTTTTTAGAATTCTTCATATTTTAATTTATACTTTGTATTCTGAGATAAACGAAGAAATATCGAGCGATTTATCCAAATAATCGTTGTCCAACTGAGATTGCTTAACAATTTCAATGTTATTTCAATATGGCTTGGAAGAATAACTACGGTGCTACTTGACGTATTTAATCTAAGATTTGTAAAAATCTTATAGAATGTGACATGTGCGTCAGCTCGTAAAATTATTAATAAAATTAATGATTGCATCAAACGCGATAGAAATGTTCGCGTTCATCAGGGTTTATTGTATCGGTGTAAATACAAAAGGTGCTTGTTCTCAAGACCAATTTTCATCTGGTTCTGCGCAGCACCCAGGCGCCTCCATTTTTAATCGATACATTATTGATATATCAGAGTTGATTAATTCGCACGCACCATATGCTGGAAATACACAACCGACAACGTGTGTTATCATGTTTTCATGTTTAATAAAATACTGCAAGAATAATTCGAGAAAGATAAAAGATAAAAGATAAAAATATAATAAGTTATTTTCGATAACATACATACATATTCGTGAAATAAATAAAAATTTTGTAACTAACATGTTACGAAAAAAAAGAAAAAAATGAAGAAAATTGGAATAAAATAAATATGTAGGTTCATATTCAGAATTCATGCACATTTTATCAATAAGTACATTGGAGCGTTGAATAGCTGCGTATGTAACACACTCGATTTGTGATTTGTCGCTCCGCATATATTTATTGATTTTTTTCTCCATTGGTAGGTACATATCAGTTCAAATTTGTTATTTAGGGCCATCTTTTGGGTAAAGTTTACCTTTTAGGTAGATTATCCAATCACGTGCGCGGATTTACCTAACAGATAAAATTTACTGGCAATAATCGGTTAATAATGTTAAGTAAACAATAATAAAACTAACCAAATATGTGTTTTTTTCATTACTTACTCCTAATATAATATCTTTTTGTATATTAAAATTTGAATATTGTTTATATGATTTTTTATGTTATATTTAATAAAACAATATAATTATAACATATTTTATCTTGCTAGGCTCAAATAGCCTTGCAATATTAATTAAATTTTATTCATATTAAGACTATTAAAATATATTATTCTTAATTATTTACTTTTTGCTCTTTATGTTTGTACAAAATAAATGCATTATAAATATTAGTAGATATACGATTTTATGGCTATTATGATTCAAATTAACCATCATAATATGGACGATGCTGGGTATAACTTTCTATTGGCTGTTGAGAAATACTGTGCAAGAGCATCTTTGTATTTACACCATGATATCGGAGAGATTGTATTTTATAAGCTCCAATCAGAAGGATACTCTTAGGATTGGGAAGTAACTAGTTATCTATAACTAAGTTACAGTTACAGTTATTTTTTTTCATTAACTATAATTTAACTTAATTCCTTTTTTCCTTTTTTGAAACTGTAACTTAACTTAGTTTCCTCCAACATTTCCTCCAGTAACTAAATTAATTTAACAGTTATCTTTTACATTTTAAACTTATTTGTCAATTTAATGTAATTAAAAAGTTAATTAAAATCTGAATACTGATTAAGGCTACAGTCCGCTTAATGCTACCAATGCTTCGAAGTATTTTTTGATTGGTCAGTAAATTGTAAACGTAAATTATTTTTTTCTTTGATAGCCCTCATGATATCGATGTTACTCATATTGTTCTGTCATGAACTGAAAAGTTACTTTTTTAGTAACTATAATTGTTACGAGTTAATTTTTAGTCTCAGTAACTTGGAACTGTAACTAGTTACTTTTGAAAGGAAAAAACTGTAACTGTAACTGGTTATTTTTACAAAGTATTAACTTTCCCAACCCTAGATAATGTATCCTCGATGTAATATATGTATGTATATATCTTTTTTTAAGGGATCAACATATTTGCTAACAAGGATGAAAATTTGATCTAACATACATAGAAGAATATACGTAATGTATTGTCACGCTATAAGTTACTTCTAATTAATACTTCTCACGGAAGTATTCAACTTAGAATTTTATCAATCTAATCGATTGGAGTATGCTCGAGCAAAAGATCATATGTTTTCCTGATCTTCGTTGTCTTCACCACCGAGATTTTCCTCGCTATCCTGCCGATCAATTGCCACAAAAATAGCTACGAAGCCTTTGTTTGAAATTGTATCGTCGGTTTTGAATCTTACTAGCAGTGCCTCGTTCATGGAAATAAAATCAGTAGTATTCTGTAATATAACAATACTGTAATATAACGATTTGAATGTTTTTATCCTACAAAATCCGATGAGTTTTGACAAAGCGCTCGTATGTAGATAGAGGACTAAACTGAATCGAAGAGTCGTCTACCATTTTACAATTTTTCTAATTTTCCTTTTAATTATCCAATAAGTAGAATATCCAAAATTTATATGTAAAACAACTTTAAGATGTCTTCAAAGAGATCCAAAGCCGTCTATATTATCGACTAAATCAGAATTTTTGTATAACAATTGCTTTTTTCTCTTTTACAGATTCGAAAATCCTTTTCCAAGATTAAACTATACGCATCAATACATGTGTGTGAGGTGGAGAAAAAAGTTTCAAAATTGGAATCTTAAAAAACATTTGTTATCATTCTCGGTGTAACTCCACCTCACAGACACGTATTGATACGTATACTTTAATCCTAAAAAGATTTTCAAATTCGGAAAAAAAACGAAAAAAGTAATTGTTATACAAAAATTATGACTTAGTAATACAACGGTAATACAAATGGATCCCCTTAAGGCGATGCTAAAACTTTCTGTTTTACCCACATTTCCATTTAATGAAAAATCTCCGAATTGGATTTATGGATTGCAAAAGTATTATTACATAAATTAAAATACGCACAAATTGCACTGGATTTCATGAGAAAATCGAAAAAAAGTTAAAAAATTACTTTTGGCTCGTACAGTTGTCACCTCAAATATATTTGCTTGATATAAGAGTTTTATATCCGTATTCATAATCAGACCTTGTACTTAAGGCTTCCTTAAATTTATCTTTAGATGTTGAGAAGCCAATGAAATAATTCGTAGAGTATCTACAGATAAATTTAAGGAAGCCTTGAATATAAGGCCTGACTATGAATATGAATATTAGATTAAAAATAAGCGTACAACTGAGGTCCTTGTCGCGCGACAAAATGAGACGCAGTCAATAAACACATTAGGAGCTGTAAGCTTATTGACTATCGCATCACATTTTGCCGCGCAACAAGCGTTTCCGCGTCCAGTGTGCAGAAGCTATTAGAGAAATTCTGAAGTCTGTATTACCAACTAAACCATATAATTTTTGTATAACAATTTTACTTTTTCCTCTCTTACTGATTTGAAAATCCTTTTCCAGGATTGAAGTATACGCATTAATATAAAGTATATGCATTAATATTGAAGTATACGCATCCTAATAACTAAATATTCATAGAAAGTTCGATTCGTATTCCCAATATGCTGAATATTCGACATAGTGAAAGAATCGTCACAAAATAAATGTCGATGAAATGTTCAGAATATTCTATGAATATTCCTTATATATATCAAAATCACGAGAAGCGAGTGAACAGTACACATCTCTATCGACAAAGGATCGCGGCGAAGAGCATTTATGGCGGAGAGCGTTAACAATCATCTGGGACAGAAGAAGACTAAGGAGCGTAATATTTCGCCTATAAAGTAAGCCCCAAAATTGAGCTCTAAGATGAAGGTGTTTAGTTTTTCAAAGCAAAATTTTATTTAAAAATTTTGTTTAAATGATTTAGAGATAATCTAGAGATTTAGAATTTCCTGAAAAATTAAAATTTTGCGGAACATGTGGAACATTTTCGAAATGTGTAACGATTTATAAATGGAATTTTTAATCAATATTGGAATATTCCTTTTACATTCCGTAAATATTTTGAAATATTTCGAAGTACTCTTGTTATTTTGGGATTGTTATATTGGGGTTATTTTAGAAACCTTTTATGAATATTTCTGAAATATTTATAGTTTGCTGGATATGTGTCTGTGACATGGAGTCCATGCTGAGAACAACAAAAAATTTTGAAATTGAGATCTTTTTTATCATTTCTTAATATCGCGCTCCAGAATCGTGATAACATTTCATATAAAAGTTCTTCATATAAAAGTGCAATCTATACTTACGATTGCTGTGCAATCTATACTTACGAAAGAATAATCTACAGATTAATTGCATTAATTTGCATGAAGAAATAATGTGGATTTCTTAAAACGTTATATGAAATTTATGTATGTGTGAGTGAGACATTGCTGTAGTGATGTACGTGTCAATGGTCGGTATTCATAATCGGATCTTATATTTAAGACTGTCTTAAGTACAGTTTTAAAATGCCATGAATCAATCCGTATTAGCATCTTAAGATATTACTTATAAGACTCAAAATAAGAACGGATTATAAATATCGCATAATGGCACATAAATCATCTGTGTATAAATATTATTTTCAATGACTAATCTTTAGATATCTTTAGAATTCCCTTAAGAAGTTGTTTAAAAAACAAGGTATTTTATAAAGATATTTTAAGATATTTTATAAAGAACTCTGAAAGCAATCTTAAAGTTGTCTTATGCATCGAGTTTACTCGCTATTTGATAATCTTTAGAAATTAATATCTCGTTACACTATTGCGAAAATTGCAAAATGGTAGATGATTTTTTGGCACATTTTAGTCCGCTTTATCGGCATACAAGCGCTTTATTAAAACTTATCGGACACCCTATATATCGCTTTGTATATTTTCATATTATTTCAATATAATGCTATTGAAAGCATTCGAAAACACTAAAAAGGCATACTTACGGAATTACCACAAAATCGACCATACGGTGGACTAGACGCGTCTAAACCGGAGAAAACTTCAACAAAGTCATATCCACATTCGGCTTCATATTCCAATTGGAACGAAAGAAAAGATAAATGAACATTTTTACCTAGTGGCGCTTCTATTATCCAGTCACAGTCAGTTCTGTGATCATATTGATAATAACCATATTTGGCGTGAGAATATAAGTGCTTCACTCTGTCGGTTGCCATAAGATGACCACCGCAGGCTGTAACAAAATTACAGTTACTATATGTTGTCGAGCGCTATTAAACTGGAAGATTCTTCATTAATGCTTCGATATTATATTAATTGGATTCGATATTACATTTTTGACATTTGATAAATCTTTGTGCAAAAATTTTCATTACTGGCACTGTATTATAGAAACAATAATTTACCTGTACTATGAGTGGCTAAGAAACCTTTCCTCTGTACGGAAGCATCGCTCTTGAAAACCATATACATTTGATTGCTCGTAGCGAGAATCGGATGTGGTTCTTTATTACCGCAAAATCTACCTAAGGTTATGCTGTCGGGTGAATCTCCGTCATAAATAGCAATATGATCATACGCACATTCTTGATGCGGTTCCATCTCGAAAACTTTAAAGACCTGCAATACACATTGTCACGAATATTAACGATTTAATACATTTTCTTCTCCAACTACTTTTTTGTTTTTTTCTTATTTATTTTTTTAAAATAATGCACTAACTGTCTTATGTGTGTATATCGATATTCATAATCGCAGTTCTTATATTTAAAATCATCTTAAGATATTATAAATAGAGATGCAATCGGATATTCAGATTTTAAAAATAT